TAATGGCTACTACTCTTTTGAGTTTATGGTCTGTTACAGAAGTTTCCACTATGACTAATTCTCTTATCCTTGAATCATTACGACCATGGCTCACTATCGAGTTTTTATGCCAGCATCTGTCTTCCTTTCCAGGTTTTCATTTCTGACACCTCACCAGTCTCTCTTGTGCTTCCCCCACCTTGGTTGCTCATGTGCTTTCTGCTGTGGTACCTGTGTTTTAGCATCTGTCTCCTCACCTTTTGTGCACATGTTTCCACTCCATCGACTTCATTGTCAGCAATTTTGTAGCCTGTTCTTTACTCCTCTTTCCTTATTTTTATGACCCTTCATCACCATGGAAAATGGAAGCTGTACATTTCTCTTTCCCCCATAAAGACAAACTCCATGTAGCAAGACGTGAAAGAAATAAAATGGTCTGTGTAGGAATCTTTCCACAGCCTCTTCTGCTGACTATGAATCGTTCATAGATTAAGTGTCTAATATCCTTCAAGGTGGTTAGAAATTAGGGAATACGACATCTGGATTATCCCAGCAGCTGGTATAGGTAGCACCTGCACTGTTGCCAAAATTGCAAATGCAGATGCTTCAAAGAAAGGGACAAGGGTACCAATAAGGGGCAGCAAGGAAACCAACTTAGGAGAATTCCTTCCTAAATGAGCTAATCCCTTCAGAGATTTTAAAGCCAACAGAGACTAAATTAATCTCAGAGATCAAATAGTTATATTTGATCAACCCAAAGGTTGTTTATGGTTACATAAAAATATGAAATTATTACCTTTTAACAATAAAAATTTAACATTTAAAAATTAAATTTAAAATTTAAAATTTAGCCTTTCAAGTGCACAAAAATCCTTTTTATTTCTACCTTATCCTATAGATTTGCATCTCATTAATTTTCTCTACCCATGCATTAATGCATGTTCTTCCTTTTCTTATTCTATCAAGTTACTCCCTCCTTACCTAGACAGCCCCACCCTTTGCAGTGATCACCGTGTGCTCATTAAGAAGCTGTAGAACAAACACAGCGTTCACGGTTCCTGAGTACTAATGATAGGGCACAAAACCACTCTGACAGGTTTTATTCTTTTCTTTTTCTTTTAATCATCCACCCAAATTGTTTCACCATGAGCACATGTGCTGCCTCCACAGAGCCTTCTGCAATGACTCCAAACCTCTTCCCAAGCAGGTACAGCTCCCTTACAACACAAGAGTGTTTCAGATATTCAGATTCCTGCCAGCAGACACCCCTGTCACTCCTGCCACGTGTACTTGGTGACAGAGATGCTGGTTTATATAGCACCTTTCCAAGACTGGTACATCCCCTCTCCATCCTTTACATGCACAGATAGAATTTTACATTGCTCAGTACCTAGCATCCTGATTTAACATAGTAATATACATAAAATACTTCACACTTAGCTTAGAAATACTCCATTTTTTAACCTTTTCTCATCATGAGAATTGGCACTATTTCAACACACCAAATCCACCTTACTTGACCTAAGTTCAAGTTCATGCTTCCCCTTTATTCTTAAGACTTCTTTACCTTTGCCTTGCAAGTGATTTTATAGGATACTCTTCCATTTTCCAAGAACATTTCTTATATTGTTTTTGTCTTTTCTATAATCATTCTAGCAGACTAGTGCAAAAATACATTCTGTTAAAGAAACCATTTAGCATTACCCTTTAATTTACTTGTCTACTGAAACAGCAGGTAAAGCATGCAATGTATTAGAATTACATTTATTATCAATGTCAGAGGCATGTCTCAGTCTGCATAATAACTGAGAGTCGAAAAGGAGTATGAAAGAAAACATCTTTGCCAGCAGGACACTCTGTATCTCTCTTTGAAAGCAATTTATCTGAATGGGAATTAAGAGAAGAGTCACTCGGTGAGTTCAATTTTTTTATTATTATTAGTGCAAAAACAACACAGGGAAAGGAAAGATGAAATTAAGAAAAGACCCATTTAGGCTGAGTATCAAATGTCCTAAAAGCAAAATCTGCTCAGATTTGGGTGAATCTCTAAGGGGAAGCTGAAGAAGACCCATTCAGTTGAAAAGTTTAGAAAAGAAAAAGTACCAAACATTGGAACATAATATGCAACAACAATTGTCCCTGCAGCAGCAGGGGGACTGGCATGAATATCTCATTATTTCCAACATAACAGCTTAATGTGTATTTAATGGCAGTGAAAAGCATGGGTGTCATCAATTCCACTCAAAGTCATAATTTATGCAACACATTAAATATTTGCATGAGTACCCTGATCATCGTTGGCATAGCAGAAAGAATTCACCAAGCACTTATTCTTCTCCCACTGTCCTAATTCGAGCTGCCAAGTCACCAGAGGCACAGGGCACAGTGAAGGGTCTCCCCAGGTTCTGTACCCCACAGGTACCCCAGCCATCCAAGCTGAGCCTGCCTCCATCTCTTGGAGATGCACAAATCACCTTTAAATTTGCTGCTGGCACTGGAGAGCTCAGGGAGGGCTCCTGATGTGAATGACCATCACAGCCTGAACTGAACTCTTCTGTGCCAGAAGCTTATGGCTGTATCAATTTGCTCCAAAAATTCACAGGAACATTCATTCAAGCTGCTTGTACTTTTGGTTTGCAGCACAAACACAGCCCTCCTAAATCTAATGTGCTGAACTACTACAGTCCCTGATGAATTAAGTCAATGACAAAAAGGTTTCTGGAAAGTGACATTGCTAGACATTATTATTTTACTATCTATGTAATCAGAGCACCAAGGAGCCTCAGGCACAGCCAGAGATCCCACTGCTCCAAATGTTGTGCCAGCACAGAAATCTCACAAACCAGCAGATATCTGTATTTGTCATAAGTGAGGGAACAGAAAAACAAGTTGTGAAGGAAGGAGTGGGGAAAGTGCTGCTAAAGAAGGATCCCCTATAGATTGAAAATGAACTACCTGTCAGTACATTTAGCCTTGTGCTTCTCAGACCTTCCGGATATAAAACAGAAGACGTTTTCCAAGTCTTTAAAGGACTGCAGTACCCTCTGACAGGCTGTGCTTTCTTATGGTACAACTTCTGTCTGAGTCTGCCCAAATCAGAGTCAATCTCATCGGGAGCTGATGCGTTTTTAATGGCAATACACTCAGGTCACTCCAATCGGACTGAATTAGGCCAAATGGCAACATTTTGAGACAAAACTATTAACTTCTTCCCTTTTGTAAAGCAGTTCATCTGCTATCCTGGTTCTTTGTAAGCTCCTTTTTTTTCCCTCTGCGTCCATCCAGACACGTTTGTAATTACATTTCCTGGGACGCACACTTTCATGGCTGCACACACATAAGTAACAGCTTTTTAACCATGTAGGTGAGGGCTGTCTCTGTTCCAAAGAGCATTCAAGTCAAGTAAAACAACGTTGTTAGTCTCTCTGAAAGGAAAGCACACAGGTCCACATCCAAAGGGGTACAGGAGTGGGGCTCCAGAGAGAATCTGCACACCTAAAGCCCAATGCAAGATGCTCAAAATGCCAGCTTTATATTTTCGTACCACTGCACAGGTTCAGCTCTCACCTTTAACCATCTGCAGAGGTTCATATTTTTGAAGCAAAGACTTTAGGATATAAACAGCTTTAAAAGTACCTGTTTCCCTTCACTAGCTGAATAGGGAGATAGGTAATTTAAAGCAGGTGGCGGCATAAATTCCTCTCTCTGAGAATGACTAACATTTAGGAAAAACATGCCCTGAGAATGATCAACATTTAGGAGAAACATGCCCAAAACAGACACTGATTTGCCAGACATCACCTCTCCCTACTGCAAGATTTCCCACGCTAGACTAGCACTGAGCTCTGCTACTTGGAAGACAAGAAGGAAATTTCATAGGCAAAGAGAGAATATTCCCCAGGTCAGCAATGCTCTCTTTCATCACAGGAAGGAGACGTGGTCTTCTACAGCCCCAGCCGAGGAGGTCCCACACTGCAATAGCCTCCAAGCATGGATCAAGCCCTTTCATCAGCCGAGTGCTCCCACCGGGCTGCAGTCACCCACCCCCAACCCACTCTGAGAATGTACAAATTAGTTCTTGCTAAACCGTGCAACTGCAGGAGGTAAAGTAGGGAAGCTGCGGTCGCAGAGCATCCTCGGATAGGAGGGGGTTAGAAGGAAGGGGTCCGGCTGTTGTTAACCCACTTAGAGGTTTCTGCTTGCCCGAGCAGAGCTCCGGCCACCTAGACCAGCTTGGGATGGTGATATCCGCCTCCTCACCTCTACTGCTGGTTTAAAACAGGACAGACCCACTTGCTCTTCAAGAGAGGATTTCCCTGCATGTAGGAGTGAGGCTGGAAACCCTAGGAAAGAGCTTCATGGAGCCCAGGTCCATTCCCCGGAAAACCTCAGGGGCCACGCGGGGCTGCGCATCCCTGTCCGGCCGCCTCACCGCGCATCCCGCACAGCCGTGCGGAGCGTCCCTGCTCCGAACACACCGACTGCCTCCAGGTTCGGGTTCTTACAGCAGTAGAGAGCCAGAAAGTTTCTCTCCCCGTGTCATACGCACGGCTCAGCCCCGGACACACCGAGCTGACACCGGGAGGGCGGGACACACACCATTCCTCCCTTACTCTGCACCTTTGCGCTGATTCAACACGATATTTAGAAAAACAGCGAGGCCGGCCGAGCCCCCTTCGTTTGGAGGGGGACTCTGCTATTTCCATGCACCGAAGGGAGCAGCGATCACCAGGGGAAAGGGGCAGTGGGGAGTGCGGTTCGCGACCGACGGCCAAGGGAGCCGCTCTGCCCGAGATGCGGGGGGCTCGGCCGCCCCACAGCCCCCGCCCGCACCGCGGAGGGGCGGACGGACCTTCCCTGTGGATCTGACCCCTCTGCCATCCCACGGACAGCTCTGGGGGAGCCGGCAACACCAGCAACACCCCCTTGCTGGGATGTCACCCTCCTCCCGAGCCGGTGCATACCCCCACCCGCCCTTACGGATGGAGAAAACCCAAAGAGGAGGAGGAAGAAAATCTCACCTCTTGGCAGGGTGGCAGCTGCAAGGCGGCCGCCTGCCAGCCCAGCAGCCAGCAGCACACCCAGGCGCTGCCCGGGTACCCCCGCTCCGCTCCGGCCCGCCGCATCCTCAGCATCCTCAGCAGCGGCATCATCTTCCTCCTCCTCCTCCCGTGCCGCGGAGCGCCCGCGCACCCCTTCCCAGGGGCGGGGGGTGCTCTGGGATCACCGCCCCCTGCTCCTGCCGGACACCTCCGAGCCCCGGCCGCGGGCTGCCCCTGGCCCTGCGCGCCGCCTGCAGCCGGGCATAACCCCGGGGCTGTCGGACACAGCGGCCCCGCCGGCCCCGGCAGCCGGCACCGCCAGAGCCGGGAGGAGGGGCCGGCGGCGGGGGGAGGAGGAGGAGGAGCGGCAGGGGAGGAAGGCTGGCAGCGCAGGCGCACGCTGCCCAGGCTGGTCCAGCCCCGGCGTGGCGAAGGGAGCGCGGAGCGTCCTCCGGATGCATCTGAGCAGCCCCAAAACCTCCGCGGCGGGGGCGAAACCCGCAGGCACCGCCGGGGAGCACGGCAGCATCCCCCGCCTGGACCTCTGGTTTCCATAGGCTCCGGGATGGCAGCTGCACTGTGGGATGAGCTCCCTCCTTCCCCAGCCCTGCCGTGGGATGCTGGCCTGCATCCCCCGTACTGCTGGCACCCCTGTCCCTGTCCATGGCAGCGCCAGGCGGCGCGGGGTACCCGCACCCATCTCCCTGCATCCTCGGACGCTGAGGATGCCCCGTGCCCCCACTCAAGGCGGGATCTCTCCAGGCAGGATGTGAGCTGGACCGCTCTGGTCATGGCCAGAGCAGGGCACCGACCTGCTCAGTCAGATGGGAAAGCAGCTTATTTGTGGCATGACCCAAATTATTTTTATCCCCCAGAATTATGCGTATTTCTTCCTAGGTGGTTGCCTTTCAGTCCCAATTTTGTCTCCTGCTCCGCAGCAATGTCCAACTACTCATTCCTAATGAAGTGTGTGACTGCCTCAGGCACCGATCGTTCTCTGCCTCCTGGCATCTCTGGGGTTGGTCCTGCTCACTTTCCTGCTCCCTCCTGGGTCCTCCTTTTTGCCTTCTCTTATCTAACTAGCAAATCCCAGCACAGGGCTTCCCATGGCTAGCACAAGATGTTCCTGTCCTTATTGATCCGCTTTTCAGACTCCATAGCCCTTTTTTTCTTCTTTTCTTTCAATTCGTGGAGTGACATTTTTTCGGTAATTTTACTGCAGTTCCTGCTCACCGTGATTCAGGTTTGACTCAGCTTTTATTCACCTCATGAAAAGAAATGCGGGGTATAAGGGCAGAGTCAGATCTCTGCATCATGCAAGCCCTCTGTCCATCCCTGGTTGGTGTCATTGCTGTGACCGTACACTAACACAAAAATTGTTCCATTTGCTCATTTTATGTCATTTGAGACCCTTGCCAGAGCAGTCAGGAAGGGAGCTCTGATGCTCTGCTAATGGAGACAAGTTTGCAATTTCCCTTTGTTCTTGTACAGAGCCTTGCTCTGATTTTAGCTCCTGCTGGAGGAAGGAAAGTGGGTTATGGTGCTTCCATCAAGGCCCCATTGCTCACCAGGGTGCCAAACAAAGCACCTTGTGTAATCAGTTAGATGAAAAAAGTCAAATTATCTTTCCAGAAAAAGTGGAAAACAGGATAGAAACCCTGCTGCTGCTTTGTGTTTTGTGCTTCTGTACTGGGTAGGTCACAAGGTTGGTCCGAAGCATTTGTTGCTCACCTTAACTGCAGGATAAAATCCAGTGTTCGAGGAGCACTGATTTCAGCTGGAGCAGCACTTCTCTTCACCTTTGGTGAAATAAAACACACAAAACTGCAGGCACTCCCAGGCATGCAGCAAGGGACTCACTTTGAAAGTATATGGGAAAAAATATATTATTAATAATATTATATATTATTTGGATACAGCATGCCTTTCATGCAAGGAAAATGGGTTCAACTTGCAGAAAAGTGCACTTCTTGCTGCAGGTGCTGACCTCGAGTAAGACTTCAGAGTGGGAAGCAGATCTGGGGGGCTGCTGGCAGAATTGCTCTCTGCAGTGTAGGGTTACTGCTGCTGATTCCCAGGGACCCTCCAGGAGGAATCAGGGCCAGCAGGAGTCAGTTCAGCTGAGCAGAACTTCCCTACAGCACAGGGATGGGTGAGGAAAGGGAGTACCAGAGTCTGCTTTTGTCACCTGCTCTGTCACCCTTCTGCATCACTAAATTATTTAACCTTAAAACTCTGAGAGAGGTGAAATAAATTTACAAATAAGAGGCTACATACTCTTCTTCAGGATTCACTGTATGCTACCAAAGTTTTTTACTGTCCTCTGGGGGATTTGCTGTCTTCCTAGCAAGAAAAATCACTACAATCTGAGATTTTGTTTTTTGTCTTACTTTATGTTTCCAAGTGACACAAGGTCCAGAAATTACTTGATCTTTAAAAGCAATATCATCAGTTTAGTTGCTGTGCTATTTGAACAGGACCTGAAATGCCTGTGATATTAAATGCTGAAGATCTTACTGAAAGCAGGATGGCAATATTCTGCAGTGCATAGTAAGCATGTGGCGAGCAGAAAATAAAAAGGACACTGTTTAAAAAATTAATGAGCTTAGATAGACATGAACAAATGAAGTGGAGGAAAGCAGTGTGGGATTTGAGACATACTGTGTAACTTTAATACAAAAAAAAAGTAGCACCTATATATAAGGCAGCAGAGATAAAGGAGTTTTAGATCTGGTAAGAACAGATAGCAGGGAGTGAAACACAGTTTTGAGATCTGTATCTGAAATCTTGACCTAATATTTTGAGTCAAGTGAAAAGATACAAAAGTAATTCAGAAGATTTATGCAATCTCACTTATAAACAATTGCCCAGCTCAACTACATTAAAGTACAAAAGAAAAAGAAAGGAAAAAAGCGAAGTAGTAAGTAATAATTTATACTGTAATGTGTTTCAAGCTACATCTCCCCTATTGCCTGAATTGTATTGTGCATCAGCCTGGTATAAGTTAAAGATGTAAAGTGTACCTTTATACTGCTGTTCTAAGTTGTGCCCAGAAAAAAACAACAGCTTGCAGGCATTTAGGATCCAGATCTGTAAACAGTTCTTCCTGATACCATCAAGATGTGAAAGTTAATCTTGGACTTTTATGTTTGCAAAGCCCAAGCCATGGGTTTCCCCGGTAGCCACTGAGCTGTGGCAGGGAAGGAGCCATATGTCACTAATGTTAATGACACCAAGTGAAAGGGAAAATTAAATGGCTGCCAGCAACTGTTTGGATGATAGCAATTAGTAACTACACTTGGGATTAGTCAGGTCTGTAGGCTGACAGTGGCTTGCGTGGGAATACATCACACAGTAAATGAAGCTATTAACCCTTTTCTGCTCTGCCTGTTTCTCGTGAAATCGCCTTAAAAACCTTGCCTGCACACACATTTCACTGCAATGTTTGGAAAAGCTAACCAACACAAAGCAATTTCATGGAGTTTCTTCCCTGAAACTCATTTTCTAACATTGTTGACTATCCATGTGGTTAAATTTTGTGATTGCTTTCCCACAAAAGGTAACATTTTTTAGCTTGCTAGCACATCCATCTGTGAGCTCTACCACAGCATGTCCTGCTCAGACTTCTTCTTTTTCTTGTGAACCATATATTTTCCCATATAACCTGGTCATCTGTGTACTTTCCATGAGGAAATACTTTATCTGAGACAAAAATTAACACTCTTTCAAGACATGGTGTCGTCCTGGTGCTTTACTGAGTGCAGTTCAAGAAAGCTTTAAAATATGTGCTTGCTCCTACAAACATTCTTACTTTTGGACTTCCAAACTTTGCAAGCTCTTTGGAAATTCAAGATACATAGGAATACTAAAAGAATGTTTATACCCAGGCCTCTGGTTCAGCTCTGACTTACTTAGACATCACTTGTACTTTCAAGTGATTCAAGAACCATCGTGACTCCACCCTAGAATAATCTGGAGAACCCAGATGAGAAAGCTGATGTGATGGCTAAGCAGACACTGTAAAAAATGGGTAACGTTTGCAGTGAGATCTCTCTCAGGTTCTCCTGTAGCCCATGAAAGAGCCCAATACTGGGATTCACCTCACTTAACTTTGTCATCCACAGCTTGTAGGGCTTTGGGAGTACTATTCACCCTCCCCTAAAAAATAAGTTATAAACACATCAGAAACCTTTTTCTGGACAGCATCCAGAACTGAAAGTGAAGGTAGCCTTCATCAGACATTGTTTTAATCATCTGAGGAGCAGTTGAATGTCTTTTCTCTCCATTAACTGCATAGAGAGTTCAATGAAGCCGAGCCTAAATAATTTTCTGCTGTCTAGTAAGTGTCCTCTTTAAACAAGGTTCACATCCTCCAGCTTTGGGGGTGTATTAACTGGTACATGTCTGACTTTTACTCTACCCTCAGCCCCACCTGCATCCAAACTAGAGCCCAGCACAGGGAAAGTGAGGTGGCACAGGGGGTGCTGGGCTGTGTGATGCAATCATGAAGCTTTGTCACAGAGCTGTAGCCTCCTGATGTAAACCCACACCTGAAAAACAAGGAAACAAAGCTTCCTGGATAGAGAACAGCCAGGATCAGCCTGTACTGCCTTTTCATGATTCCCACTCCTAGATGTAACATTTGGGATTTATCTCTTTCACTCCTTTGCTCCTCAATGCTGTATTTTTGCCTCTTCTCCCTAGACATGTTTAGAGCGCCTACATTTTGCTTTTCTAGCAAACTTCATCTTTTGGATCCACTTTAAACCTCTTGGAGCCTTCCATTTGAGATTTCTTTGTTCATCCTTTCTCTCATTGTGACTTTAGTTGAATTTTCCTGTAGATCTTGTTCTTGGCTTGACACTAGAAAAGCTCCTTGAATACATACAATTTAATATGAGTTCTGCAAAGGTTAGACATAAAAGATCCAAGGCACTTCTGCACCATTTCTATGCACAGACCTGGAAAAGAGAGGTTAGAGACATAATCTGCCTTGCTTGAATCTGAATCACAAGAAATTCAGCTGTATGAGAGGAATTTCTCTGC